TATTTTTTSTTTGGAATCCTTGACTTAACCATTTCCAGTCTCGGGAGCAGGCGCGCCCTAAACAGGCGCCAAACTCCTGCAGAATTTCAATTCAAGTGTCAACAACAAAAAAGCACATGATCTTTGCAAAAGAGAAGGAACAAGGACAAAGAGAAGGAACACCAACAAAGAGAAGGAAAACCAAAGAAGAGGAACAGCTGTGTGACAATGCTGATGGTGATGGCTGGCACATGGAGCCCAATCCAGATTCTTCTGTTGTGGAGGAGGGAAGAGAGGGAAGAGAGCTGCCGGCGCTGTCTTGAGAGGGAGGAAGAAATCCCGCATATGATTCACATACCGGTACCCTCCTCTTTGCCGGCTCACAAAAAGAACACAAGGATCATGGCTCCAGCTCCAGCTCCAGCAGCTCCTCCAGCCGCAAGGTTGGCTCCCCCACCAGCAAGAACAGCAGCAACAGCTGCAAGGTTGGCTCCAGCAACAGCAACAGCTGCAAGGCCCTCCTCCACAGCTGCTGCAACGTCGAGGTTGACCACTCCTGCAAGGCCGACTGCTCAAGAAAGAGGTGGAAGACCAAAGGGCTCCACAAACTACTCCAGAAGGGAGACAATGTGCTTGCTGAAAACCATGAGGAGGATTATTCCTATTGGACCAGAACTATGGAGACAAGTTGTTGATACCCATGAAGAGAACTGGGGGACTGGAAGAGACAAGGATTCAATCACTAGGAAGTATGCATCCCTCCACCGGAAAACAGCTCCAACAGGGAATCCAAACATCGATCCGGCAGTCAAGCTGGCAAAGGAGATCAAGCAGCTCATTGGTGATAGGGCTGCTTGTGGGGATGGAGAGGAGGAATTTGATATGGAAGAAGGATACATTATTAGTGAGGATAACAGCAAAAACAATGCCAACGCCAACACCCCCGAAAGTCCTCGGCTTGGACAGCCTTCGCAACTTACTCAGCAAGAAGAAGGAATGACACCAGCAGAAGAAGCAATGACACCACCAACACAGCAGGAGGTCACTCAAGATACTCAAGATATGACGCCAACACAGCTTGGTGATGAGATGCCAACTCAGCTGGCGGTCCTGTCTCAACAAGAACAAGCAGCAACAAGTATCGATGCTGTCGTTGTCGATGCTCCTGTTGTTCCACAGAGTACTCCACGCCCAGCGCGTCCTCCTGCCAAGAGATCATACACACGATGCGCATCAGCAAGAAGCAGCGTYAGCAGTAGTACTGACTTCACATCCATGTTCCAGATGTTGATGCAACAGCAAGAAGCCCTTGCTATCCAGTCCAGGGAACAGCATCAGCAGTCCATGGAGCTATCACATCAAAGCATGGCACAAATCAAGACAATGATTGCTGAGATTGCCAGTGCTTATCTTGGTCGAAAGAAGAGAAAGAGGAAGAGGAAGAAGAACAAACGCAGCAGCAAACGCAACAATGAGCTGTTATCGTCCTCCTCATCCTCATCCTCATCCTCCTCGTCCGCGTCTGAACAAGAAGATTCAGAATAACAATCCCATGGTTATTTACTAATATTATTAATCTAAACTAGTTTGCTGATTGCTGTTTGCTCCCCCCCCTGCTGATACTGTGCTGATTGTTGTTTGCTTTTGCGATTTATGAGGAGTACTGGATGCAAAACACTGGTTGAAGGAACCAATGCGATACGCCGTGTTATTTTGATACAAGCTACGCGATACACCATGTTATTTTTGTCATACCAGTTTTCTTGCATACCTTCCCACAAAAAAAACCGGCACTGGAACCGGCACTGATAACAAGGGGGGAACGCTCCTGTTCCCGTGGGATTGTTTCCATGTGTAACGCGTTCCCCTTCTGTTAACGTATGCAAGAAAACTGGTATGACAAAAATAACACGGTGTATCGCGTGGCTTGGATCAGGAATAACACGA